GGGGAGGAGGACGACGACGAGGAGGAGGAGGGGGATTCTAAGGAGGTGGTGAAGATTCTGAATGGGCTCTGAGCCGTAGCCTTAGGCATATGATTGTTAACGATGACAGCTGCAGGGAGGAAGGAACGGACGTACCTAGGGAGGAGAGGAGGAGGAGGAGAAGGACAAACCAAATTTCCGTTCACTTCCAAGATTACTCTTTGATCCACAACACGCTAATGGTTATCTCAGTAAGGCCTCCACAACTATGAGCTGAGAGGCATGCCAGTATGCTGCCAAATGTTATCGAGAAGAAGGCAGTGACTTTGCTGTCCAGAAGTGACGACATACTGTGCCACTCACCCGTGTCTGCCATGAGCCCAGTAGTGTAGGTGAGGGTGTATGTCGCAGTCCCCTGCCGTCTGGTGTCTCGGGCCGGGCAGGTAGGCCCCTTCCTTCTTTTTCCCCCTGATGTGATGTGCTTCTCAGTTGTTTTCATGCTTGCCAGTAATAAGTAACTGGACTGGAACCCCCCAGAATAGAAGGGGTGAGTGTGTGTTGTGTGTTAAAAAAAAAAAAAAAAAAAAAACACCAAGCCTCTTCTAGTACCAGCAGGCCACGCTACTATGAAGACAGCTACGTTGCAAATCCGAGCCTAACCGCATCTGAGACATCTGAACCTTGGTCTGTGCTAAGCCGCTGGTAGGATGTCCTTGAAAGCATACTTGCAACTGCATGGACCGCACAGCCGTGCAGTGCGGTCCACTGTGCACTGTGCGGCACGCACTAGAGTACCACGCCAGCATTAATCTCTCTGTTTGTCTGTTTGTTTGTTGTTTTTGGCTGTTTTGTAGATATAGAAGAGTGTACTACCAAACGAACAGATCCTTTTGTCCCATTGGGCATCAGCCGCATCACAAATAGCCTCAAATAGGTCTTGACTGTTAAGTGGCGAAATTTCTCTTCCAAGTTCCAACTTGTGTTTTTTTTTTCTTTTTCTGTTTTCCCATCCTGCAACAAACTTTTCAAGGGGGCGCAGGTGACCATTGATCCAGATCTGCGATCCCTTTTTTTACTGGGTGCCATGCCATACGTGCTGAATTGCCAACACGACGTATGTGCAGTGCCCACACAGTGCGCGCTTGCAAGTATGCTGGAAAGTTTACTGCAACATTCGTCCTTCCTTTCTTAACAAAAACATTGCAGCACTGGATCCCTCACGAGTGATTCTCCTATCAGGTTAAGAACAAGCGTGGCTGTCAACCACCGTACTCGTTTGCGCGCACCTCCAGAGAGCATGCTGATTTGGGATATGGATCTGGAAGATTGGAAGGAAACAGTAGGGTATCATACATGACATGTCAGCAACTGACAAACAACTTTCCAACCAAAACACGGTGACAAAGAAGAAGAACAAAAAAAGCAGTAGGTGCACAGTTCCAAAAGGGAAAGCAGGATAGTATAACAAGGAGGTACCACAATGTTAGAGTACTTCAATCAGGCTACCGTAGGCAGGGGGGAGAGACGGTACATCCTTCACTCGGGATGTAATTCATCGGTCCTTCACGCCATAAGACTGCCAGTGACAGGCTGCAAACAAGGAGACATCTAGCGAGGGTTTAGGGTTTTAGCACCAATTACAGAATAAGAGCAGAACCTCAGTAATACAGGCTAACTTAGGCAGGGGTGAAGGGAGGTACATCCTTCCGTCGGGAAGTAATCAATGCCATCCTTCGGGCCTCCACACCATGAGGGGGAGGAGCGTGTGTACACATATTGTAATTCTTTCTGACTTGCCGTGGAATAGGAACCGGACTGATGCTCCCCAGAATGGAAAAGGAGCCGGAACCATAAGGTTCTGTTTTGAAAGAAAAAAAAAAAAGTGAAATCACACCCCATATAAGAAACAGGAAATCACAGACAAATTCGCAAAAGGAGTACCCACATTACATAAAGTTCAGATGGAAGGAAATACAGCCACAAATCGCACTAGGCCCGGAACGCAAAGACACCTTTTTTCAAATCATACCCAGCTCTTACGCCCTAGGCCTGAGTCCAGCCGGAGAATTGAAAATGATCAAGGAACGCAAAAGGAAGAATGGAAAATGGAGTAAGGGACGGGCGGGGCAAGGAGCAGTGGCAGGACCACATAAATGCAGGGGTTCAAAATGGCTGGATGGCGTCAAGCACCCAAGCAACAGAGCAAGAAGGGCCCCAGGGCGGGAACCTTCACCGACCAACCATCCGCATGTGTGCTGGGAAGATCTTCGCAAAGAAGCCAGAAGGGGATCCACAATGCAGACAGATTGGACCACACACAGGACCAGAAACATCCCAGGGTTTAGGGTTTTATCATGCAGCCACCCCGAGGCGGACTGAGAGGAAAACCGCTGGCCTGAATCCGGGTTGCTTTTTCCCGAGGGATAGTAAGCAGGGGGGGTGAGGACTGCAAATGTGTGGGCTGCAATGACAGTCGATCCTTCCTTTGGGAAACAATCAATGCTGTCCGGGCTCCCCGGGTCGTAACGTGGAGAGTTGTTGGAATGGTTAACAGTTGTTTTGACTTGCCGGTGGTATAGGGGAACGGGACTGGTACTCCCAAGAATAGGAGGAGCACGGCCCGTGTGGGCACAGACTGAGAAACCTGCCGATCTGTTTTGCTGTAATTTCGGAGTCTTGAGTCTATTTTGCTGTTTTTATTTGCCTTTGTGACCTTCTGATGAGATGAGTGTGCCTGTGTGCTTGCCTGAGACTCGGTCTGTGTCACCGTGCTGACACTGTTTTCCATGCTGTGTAACTGTGCCTCACACAGGGGTGCGTTTGCATTTAGGTGTAATTACAGGGACAAACCTGAAACTGTCTAGATAAGGAATTACCAAAATTCTAGCAGGCTAGCAGTAGAAGTCAAAATTCCACGGACCCCATAAGCATTTTCCAGCAATGCGGAGAGGCCCTGGAGTCTGGTGGGATTCCAGTAGGTAATCATGGTATCAGGTCCGTATCTAGTCATGTTTAGGTCTAGATTCGGAGTCTGTAGGTAGAGTTACGGTCTGCAATGACGTTCCGGTCAACAGGCAAGGAACTGGTAGCCACAAGTCCACTAGTTGAGTCTGCGGGCACGGGAGAAGAGGGCATAGAGCACCAGGAGCAAACGTATATCAATCAGTGCAACAAGTAGTCCAGTTTATTCACCCGGCAGTCATGATGCTGCGTCAACAAGAGGGCAAAGACGTGGAGCTTCTGAGTGAGCAGTGAGGATGTTACATGCCCAGTTGGGCGATGTACATAATAACCGAGGATCCGCAATGTGATAAAAAGGACTGAATGGACAATGCAGTGCAAGTAGAATCTCAACAAGCAATGTGCATTCTGATACATAACAAAATGGTGCTGAATAGCGCAGGGAAGACTTAG